GATGAGGTCCCAGAGGAGCCCGGCCTGCTGGCGCACGAGATGCTGCACGTACACCTTCTCCTCCTGCAGGCACAGCCAGAGGTGAGCCCTGCTGCCCCGCCCCTCACTGCACTGAGGGCAGGCCCCTCCAGAGCGGCGTCACACCAGACTACACTGCAAGGCCATGCTCTCTACGGCACTAGGCTGCGTTATAGTGAACCTGACACTAACGCACTTTGCTGTTCTCTGCTTTTCAGCCCGTAATACACTGCACTGCTTACCTTGTTTTATTGCACTGTAATATACCGCACTATACTCAAGTACTGCTTACAGTATTGTTCTGCATTGTCCTCTGCACTCTGCCATTCTAGGACTTCATCATGAAAACATAAGAACAGTTACTGACTAGAGAAAGAGCTTCAGTATATCCTGCTCATTGGTTGTCAGTAGCTTACTGGACGGCACCACTCAGTACTGTACAGACTGATCATGAGAGGCAGGTACAGTCTACCGCAAGACTGAAGCAACAAAGCAATCTGGAGAGTGTGAGTGTGGGGGGGAAGGAGGAAGACATTGGTAACACTGATCTAGTAGCCTGGTGTGGTCAGGTCAGCACTGGAATTTGAGATCACTGAGAAGCAGGTGGTGTTGGTGGACCAGCAGGTGGTGCTCTTGTCTCTGGGCCAGAATTTCTAAACCGGCGCCCCAGTATGGTCACTGCGGACACAGTGCTGTAGGAGGTGGTGCCACCCCTTTGGGTAAGAAGTTACACCAAGTCCTGGACAATCAGTTACTGAAGAGTCAGAATAGTAGTGGTGTACACCAATGTCCTAACTCAATTCTACTCGGGGCTTAAACAACCTGCCTACTCTAAAATCCCCTCTGAACTCAACCACTGGAGACGTTTCTCTCTTCTCCCCCTGACCTGCTGCACAGGTGGGGCTGCTCTGGTAGACGATCTGCTCTGTATGGGAAAGAGCCGTGTAAACGGCCTACCTGGTCCCGAGAGAAAGCCGTGAAGAGCGTCAGACGCCCGGCCTTCTGCATCTCCTCCCACTCGGAGCGGCAGTAGAAATCCCGGGACTCCGAGCGACAGCCAAAAAACAGAACGTTCCCTGAGGGGGGGGAAGAAAAATGAGGAGATACAGTGGGAATTCCGGAACGAATCCAGAACGGAAAGCTACAGGGAGAAGGGAGGAGAGCCGAAGGGGAGGCAGGACCGACCTGTCCTGTCCAGGGCCGTCCTCTCCTGCAGGGCGGCTCGGAAGGGGGCCACCCCGGTGCCGGGCCCTACCATTATCACAGGGGTGTCGGCATCACTGGGGAACCTCAGGCCTCCTTTCTTCACCCACAGGGGGACGCGCACCTCCCCTGCAAGATGGGACATTCCGCAGTCAGATAAGAGCGACACGAGGCCACAGGAAGGGAATGCTGGGAAATCCCAGAATCCCACAGACAGACAATCTGCGGCTGGACTGCGTTCTCCGTCAGAAATGCGACACCAGCCCGGGGAGGGGGGGGTCTCAAAGTCAGTTTGCGGAAGGCCTGTACGGTCTTTTACTACTCGTTTCGTTCCAAACCCTCGACCGCTTCACCTCCCGAAGTCTCAAGTCTTTAGTCTTCTTCTAAAACTGTCAGGATTCTAGCACATCCCCAGTCCACCACACGCTGCTCGGCGGTCACGCGACAGATCTGCACCGCGTCGCGTCGCAAGGCTTCACGCTTCACTTTACTCTGTGTGGGGTCCAAGGAGGCCAGCCAGGACGAACAGAGGCCCCTGCGCGGCTTGTGGAGCTTGGTCCTGTACTGCACCACCGCCACCAGCACCTGGATCCGGTCGGGGTGAGCCTGCGGGAGAACAGGAGAGCCAGGAGTGCCGGGAAGATCTGCCCCGCCTCCCGTGTGCCCTGTCTTGACCTTGATCCCTTGAGAGGTTTCAATAGCATCAACTCATCAACATCCACCAACCCTCTATCGTCTTTGGCCAGGTTTGATATGGCTCTGCATTCAACCGGCGCTTCACCGACCTCAATGTCGCGTCATTACTTAACTGACATTTCATTAAATTTGAGCCTGCGGCTGACCACCACTTGAGCAGCGGAGCAGTGGCTCTGTGGCTCAGGATCTGCCCTTGTTGCTGGGAGGTTGCCGGTTCAAATCCCGCAGCCGGCAGAGGAATCCTAATCCGTTGGGGCCCCTGAGCAAGGTCCTTCACCTCAACTGCTCCAGGGGCGCTGTACGATGGCTGACCCTTCGCTCTGACCCCCAGCTTCTCTCCCTGTCTGTGTGTCTCATGGAGAGCAAGCTGGGGTCTGCGAAAAGACAAATTCCTAATGCAAAAACTTCTGTAGGGCTGATAAAGTGATCTCTCTCTCATCTCAAATGAGCACAGAAATGACTTTATAAAAAGCAGGGAGGTATTTTTGGAACTGCAGGCGAATGGGATGGGCGGCGCAGAGCCTTACCAGCAGGGAGGAGGCGATGGAGAAGGAGCGGGGCTTGATTTCGGGGAAAAGGTCCAGCAGGTAGTCCACGGTGAGAACTGCTGTGGTGTGGGGGAAATCGGCCAAGACCTGCAGGGGGGGGGGACGAGAGAACAGCGCCCTCTTGAGGACCGGAGGACCGCGGCGGGCAGGGGCTCAGCCGGGTGCGGCGCCCTCGCTCACCTCGATGGCGGTGCGCCGGGGCCGGTGGCAGTAGGCGTGCAGCTCCTCTTGGCCCTGCGCCGTGCCGAACTCCACCAGCTTCTCCCTCTCCAGCTGGTCGGTGGCGAAGCCCGCCAGCAGCTCGAAAAAGGAGCGCCGCGGCACGCTGGCGATGTCCAGGAAGTTCTCCAGGAGGTCCCGGAGCGTGCAGGGCTGGGGCAGGCGAGTGGGCACAGTGGCTGAGGGCACAGGGCACAACTTTAAACACAAAACTGTCCCGAACTGTTGACTGCTCCTCTTCGTGTGCACCCTGAAGCCCGTAGCGCCTATTCGCCTGTGGAAGACCAAGTAAGGAGGGTGAAGACTGTGACTATGCCCGGAAAAGGTTTCCAGCTCGTACCCAAGACAGCTGTCTTTCTGCAACTGAAGTCTGTGATTTTTCACACCTGTGTGTTCAACCAGATAGAAATAAAACGGATCGCAGGATGCCAAATGGCATCTTCCTGTCCCGTTTACGTTTATGTCTGAAAGTGTCCCTCTCTCCCATTTGTCCCTTTGATATGTTAAAGTCTCACCTACTTTTGATGTATAAAAAGGAAAGTGTAAGTTCAGTCAAGCGTGCATATGTTACTGAGCGCTAGGGGAAACCCTTGCTCTGTGATACGCTCCCCTTCAGCTGATTAAAGATTAATTAAAGATCTCTGTTTGATCATCTCCTGACCTGAGTGAAGACTGAGATCTCTTCGACACACCTTAAGCACACAAACCCGCTGCCACACACTGGTGTCTGCTCATTTGGTTGTCAGTAGCTTACTGGACGGCACCACTCAGTACTGCACAGACTGATCATGAGAGGCAGGCACAGTCTACCGCAACTCTGAAGCAATCAGAGCAATCTGGAGAGTGTCGGTGCGGGGACACACTTCGGCAGCACTGATCTTGTAGCCTGGTCTGGTCAGACCTCAGGAGCAGCACTGCTAATTAGGGACCAATGAGAACTAGGTGGCTGCCGTCTGTGGTGGTGGTGGACCAGCAGGTGGTGCTCTTCTCTCTGGGCCAGAATTTCTAAGCCGGCGCCCCACTGCGGACACAGCGCTGTAGGAGGTGGTGCCACCCCTTTGGGTAAGAAGTTACACCAAGTCCTGGACAATCAGTTACTGAAGAGTCAGAATTGTAGTGGTGTACGCCAATGTCCTGGCTAAATTATACTCGGGGCTTAAACAATCTGCTTCTCTAAAATCCCCTCTGAAGTCAGTGATAGAAGGAGTTTCAAAGTCCATTCCGAACCAGTCCATTTGTTGAAGGCCTGACGCAGTGTTATTCCTGTGTTGTTTTCCCAGTGCTGCCGTCACAGATAATTGCCGGAGAAGAGGAATGCTAATGGAATGAGTTTATAGCAGGTGTGTCACCTGGGAGCTGAAGCAGAGGTAAGAGGGAAAAGACGCCCTGCCCCCCCCGACAGGAAGCAGCCGTGAGCCAGCAGGAAGGAGGGAGGGGGTCCTTCGCTGCACAGGTTCTCAAAACTCAATGAACACTTGAAGGAACAGACCGGTTCTTGAGCGAGCCCTGGGACATGACCACCCATCCAGCCTGCGGGAGTCCTCGCCCGGGTAACCGCCAACGCCCCTTACCGCCGTCCGTGGGCGCCAGCACGAAGCGGCGCGCGGGATCCAGCCTCAGCAGCCGGCACAGCTCCGCCACGTCTTCGGGGGCGTTCCTGGGGCAGACCATCACCACGTCGCCCGCCGTGAACCTGGGCACAAGACACAGCCCTTTCAGGGGCCACGGCAAAGCCAGGGATCGGATTCTCCCAGCAATGCATGAACCCTTCAAAGTGGGATGCATCCCAGGATACATACGGGATACAGGACACATGATGTTGATTCCGAAAATCGGGGACATCCCTGTAACTAGAAGTGGCAAGACCTGAGAGGGGACTGTGTGAAGGGTAGGGCGACGATTTAAGACACTGAGGCCCCCCACTCTGCACACGTACATATTTGTACTCACTCCATATTTGAGCCGGCGATGTCAAACTCTATGAGACGCACGTCCTGGAAGTGGGAGGCGTGGGTTACTCTCTCGTTGGAGATCACCCGTGCCTGGAACGGGTGGGACTGGGAGGGCGTGGTCTGAGGAGGGCTCTGCGGGTCACCTGGCCTGACCGGCGGGTCCTCGGCGACATCATCCAGGAAGTGGACGAGGTACCGCGGGGGCAGCCTGCCGGGGGCCCACAGGAGAGAACGGGTGAGCGAACCCGGAGCACAGCCCAGTGTTTGCAAGTCCGCCTCCTTCGATAAAGACCAGTGGCCAGGAAGGGCTCGGAGACTCACAGGTGGTCGTCGCTGAGCACGCTTACTCCAGCAGGGAGAGGGTAGATAGCCTGGGCCCTGTCCCAGAATGTACTGAGCCAAGGGTCGATCACCGCATCTGGCCTAGGGAACACAGACACGGTCAAGAGAGGGTGTACGGGTGTACCCCCACACCGCGTACCCCCAGACCCATCCTGTCCTCACCCCAAGTCATGCTGGTCATCTGCCAGCCCCACAGGCAGCAGGGCACTGGCGCCAAGCTGGAGCAGCCTCTTGTACAGCTTCTTGGCCACGAAATTAAACCTGTAAAAGAGAATTAAAGATGGGATCTAAAAATCACTTGACTTGCCACATCTCTACTTTCCTTTTTCTACTCCTGTTTTAATATTATTGTCTGTTTAGGTGCCTTGATGACTGTTCACACTTGTTCACTATCGTATACGGCACCACGCAATATTCGTGTTTCCTGAAAAACCCATAAACAAATTGAACATAAAACCGCTTGACGGTGAGGCACCATCTCTTGCCACAGGGTGTGCAGAACGGACCCCCCAGGAAAGCCCAGTCTGCTGCTGCTGATGAGTCCCGAGCCGGGCCGCCATTCCACACAGAGTCTCCCTATTGCGTA